CATCGATTGTTTGAAAGTCTTTTAGCGTTTTTAATATTATTCTAACGACTGTTACACAATAATTCATACCTATACAGTATAATATTATAATAATATGCAATCCCTCTGCAGTTTAATAATATCGATTAATTAGTACTTATTTTGGCGAAAAAAAACGTGTCGGTACATTAATTGTATTGTGTTATATACGTCTACGGGAATTTCGAACATAATTTTCGGCAATAAAAACAAAGTTTAAGCGGCGTTTAAAAAATAACGCTTATTAGGTACTAATGACTATACATATATACTAATGGAACACCGAACACGACGGTAATTATTGTCGTTAGCCATTTGTTGAAGTATATAATATAAACGCGTTTAAATTCCGAGAGACGTGCAGTTGTACTTTATTGTTAGGCATAAATAATTATAACTATTATTATTTTTCACAACAATTATTATAGTCTGTACGTATAAAGTATGTCCTGAATAATATTACATTGACGTGAAATAATTATGGTATACGCTAAGAAGTATTTACAAGAGGGGAGATCTATCTAGGTGGCACTTTATCAATTATAATAAGGATATAATATTATTTCCGTTTATTATATAATATAGTTTGACCATTATAATAATTATGACTGGGTCTTATTTCCTAATCATCAGAAATTAATTGTTTGTTTTTACTTATTACTACATAATAAAATATTTGTATGAACATTGAATTCTTGTTTCGTTTTTATTTTGAATGGGTATACATAATTATTTTATGATTTATAAGTTATGCATTAATTACTTTTGGTTTTTGAAACTTGGTAATAAACGACTGTTTATTTTTCTATGTTGAGTAATTTATCGTTCCTATTAAGTCACGGAGCATGTACGCAATTAATTTTTATGTCAACAATCGACAATACTTATAAGAATGAGGCGGAGGATAAGGAGATAGACAAACAAAATAAGCACACGGTTGCAAAAATTCTGAATAAATCTCTGAATGTGTATAACAATATTTATTATAATAAAATCGAAATGATCATAGTTTTGTAACGTGTGAGGCACTCTTGGTGTATCACATTATACAAGTTAACGTTTCGTTATTAGATTTGGTCACAATCGAAATTATTAATCTTCGGATTAAAATAAAAAAAATATATGCATTATGTAACATCGTGCAGTACAATACGGCCAATTTATGATGCTTGGTTGGTAGGTTATCTATACCAATAAATTATCGTATGTTTTGGATTTAAATTTTTTTCTACTTTACGTTAAGCTATACAGGATGACTCCCTCTATTTTCTTATACATTTTAGTACTTAATTTATTTATCTACATTTTTATGTTTACCTCAAGACCATATTATTTTTTATACTTAGATTTTTGTTTGTCATTTAAGAAGTGTCAATATAAACTTACTTTTCAATTGAGAACCATTAATTTTTTACATTAAATTGCTAAGCATATTATTATTTTCAAAATGTTGATAAATATAAATATAAATTAGAAAGAGTTTTTGAATTATTTAACTTGATGTAATAAGGATGGGGGGGGGGGCTATCATGATCTTGAAAATTATAGCAATACATAATTTAAAATTTTATAATTTGTAAACATTTCTGAGTATAATTATAAGTATAATAGCCTATAAATATTAAATCATTAAGAAGTATTATCCTCGGTACGATACTATATAAACTCAGCATAAAAAGGCAGTTCTCATTTGAAAAAAAAAATTACATTAAGCTATTATTTTAAAATATATCTATCCATTAAGGACCTACATCAAAATTAAAAAAATTAGAATTAAATAATAGTAATCTATACTAAATAATAGAGACAATGCATGAAGCCAAAAAATTGCAAATTATTAAATAGACCTATTCTCCCAGATCTTTTTAAACTTAAATTTCACGATTTTCATCGAAATCACTAGTATACTCTATGACAATTATATTGTGATAGATATTACCTATAATTAATTATCCTTTATCCATAAAACAGTTAGAGATACTGGTCCATACTAAAAGACACGTCAACTTTTATAGAGTTATAATGTAATTTAATACGAGTTTTTTGGTAGGTAATGCTCAAGCCGGAAATATTAAAAATATACGCTTTATTCGGTTTACTTAATAAAAAAAATAAAGAATAAATACTACCGCAATAATCTAAATTGAAATTGAATTGAAATAATAATAATAAAAAAAATGAATGTTATTCGGAGCAAAGGAGTGTTCGGAATAAAAATGCAGATTGAAATAATGTAAAAGTATATATGCTGTGTAAGGTGGTTACGACTTCGGGCTTAATACAAATATAATACTTTTCCTATATGCGCCCGGATATTGATTATTTTCTTTTCGATTTATATAATAATTGTCGTTTCGAAAAACCGTTTAGAATCTATACGATAATTTTTAGTTGGGGAACGCAATTTACGATAGTTTTCCCATACGACGCCGCGTAACTATCTATAATGAAATAAATATTGTTATGTTTACTATACAAGATGATTCTGTTAAAAGAAAACACTAATTTTTTCGAAAAATTTTAACATTTTTACGAATTATTTTTTTCGGATAGTTTAAACTTTGAAGTAATTACAAAACGACATTTTAAATTATGATATAATCAGAAGTTGAAAATGCATGCTGTTATTAAAATTGTTATAACGATAAAAAATAGTAAAAAATAATATAATTATTTTTCAAAAATGTTGTTTTGTTATTATATTTTACACTAAAACTTTTCGAGGGAACGAGTGTTAACCTTTAAAATAACATTACTCTGTATTATTATATGCACATATAATTATGCATATGGTCATCAAAAGTTTGCCTTTCAAAATTGATTTCGATCGCGTACAATTTTAATAATAATTGCGATACCCGTGCCCCCGGCCATTGTGAAGTTCGGGCGATCATCCTGTACATACAAAATCGGTACACTATTACGATTACAACGCGACTGTCGCGGAAACGTATATTTAGTTGGCTTTTGTGATTCCAGAATTAGCATTCAGCGCGTCTATGGTATTAACATTCGACAGTCGTAATGGAATAAAATATATAATATGTATATATTATCTCATGAGCATATAGGTTGGAGCCATTATTGTTGTGGCGAGATGAGGGAGACCTGTCCGAAAATATTTCTACTCTACCTATAATAATTATTGAACGTTGAGCAGTGTTCTATTATAATATTATAATTAACTAATAAATTAATAACAACACGCCGATCGATAATGAAACGTATTGTGTATCCGAATTCAATAACCATCCACGGAGAAACAAGTTATATTATATTATAATAAATAATGTGATACTGCAGGAGGCAGCTCGAAGCCGAGTATGTTAAAGTCTGGTTATTCAAATAAAAAATGTAATAGTTGGAATGAGTGGATGTTAAACCCAAATAATCATTTTGATATCTAAACATTTATAAAGTGATTATTTATTGACAAATGGTAAAATCATTTAATGTGGAAATGATTAGCTTGGCTGTTGATATATAAAGCTCTATGATATAACTGTTGATTACAGTGAATACAAAATAATAGGCAACTACAATACGATATATTCACTTATTAATGTGGCTCAACCATACATTAAATCACATAAATCAAGAGGTCGTTATATATTTCAAAAGTTAATTCTATACTAATATAGTAATATCTAATTTTTATATGCCTGTATGTATTAAACTTTCGAGATTATCTTAATCTTGTATTAAATCTATATAATGTACTCCATAAATAATAGGTTATAGACAATAGACATATTTAAGTTTATATAATATATATATTTCTTACAATATTGCCTATAGTCTGTAGCAATAAAAAATAAATCTACCTACTAATTGTCGAATTCGCAGATCGATTATAATAATAAAAAACAAATCTACAAACAATAATGTTATTATAAGAATATGATAACGATATAATATACTTATACTACCTACTTGGATTGCCATAAAAATAATAATAACCAATAGGCAATAGGTTATATCTACTGGTAGATATCTCGTAGATAATTGTATTAATTATAATTTATAAAATTTTTTTTTTTTAGTTCTATTTATATACCTACTTGAATTAAGATGTAAACATTAAATATTTTTCTTATTAAACCCGCTAAAAAGTTTGATGAATACAAATCTTTTGAAAAAATTTAAATCGGACCACTGGGGTGGTTGGTACTTGAAAAAGTCTTTCTTTTTTAGCAGTTTCCACTAGTAAATTAGTAAATATAGGGTAGCAACTTTAAGGAGCATTTAAAATATTATAGAAATTTAAGTGATTTTAGCTCTCTCACACTGTTTATTAATATAATATACCATACACATTCCATGCATAATAAATTGCCAATATTCCAAATTTTTTTTATTCAACAGCCTTAAGTGCTTTTAATGTGCTACGGTTTGTGAATATTTTCAGAACCATAGATGCTGTTAACATGTTCATTGTTCATTGTTCAACAACTTTTACTTTTCATCCTAAAGTCTTGAAAAACTGTTTTCAACGATTGTAGTGCGCCTCTAATCTCCAGCCAACTCATTTCTGAGCGCACTAATTTTCCTTTAAAAGAGCTTAAAAGAGGACGTGGAGCTTTCTTTAATTACTCGTTTAATTTACAGGTAATTTTGTTCAATACGATGACGACATTTTTAAATACTCATATTAATTCACATTCATGATCTAGGTAATTTAATGTCAAATTAACACTGTTTTGTGTCACCTTCCACTTTTATACAACTTTTGTACGACAGACATACGTTTTCACGGTTTATTTTTAGTGCTGATTACGTTTACATTAGCATTTCTTATTTTTATTGAAACGACTTAGATAAATATTGGTTCTTAAAGTAAAAAAAAACATTCTTAAAGTAAACCACATCAACACTAAGAAGGATTCTTGAGGTTTTTATACATTTATTTCAGTTCTTACGTTATTCATTATTATTGTTTTTGGTACAGCTTCAACAACTTAGGTTATTATCTTACAACAATATCAAATACTAATGCTACATATATGGTTGCATATAATGGTTTTTCTAGATGAAGTTGTACATGTCAGTGTGTTTGAGAAATTAAATGATTTTGTTGATGTTGTCTTCAATTGGGTAAGGGCTTCAAAGAGGTCGTCAGGCATTCCTAGGCTTTTTATAGTTTCCATATATGGTTTCGACTGTTCCAAAGGAGGTGCTTGACTGTATTGTAAGAGGTTCTCTACGAGTTTGCCACGGTGTTGGCTCTTCTCTTCGCAGAAGATTTGTGGGGTAAACATATCACTAGTATGTACTATGTAGTAGTATTTTTGATTTTTCTTATTTTGTTATTTGGTATATGCCACCATTCGGATTCCCATGAATTGGTACAATAGGTGCTAACATTCATATAAATGTAAATAAACGAGAAGTAGGTGTGTTTTTAGGTCATAGCCCATAGGGTTATTTACTGTTTATCGAGATACTTTGTTAACCTTCTCGTTGCCATCAATTCCACAATGGACCGGTGTCCATATAAACAGTATGTTTTTATTAGCTTTTGCAAGATATTATACTTTTTAAATTTCTATAGTGATCGAGCAGTATAAGTTATACTTAAAAGTTAAAACTGTTAAGAGCGCTAAGTGAATCTGTACAAATGTCAATAGTAGGATATCAGATCTTTGATATTATGATATTTTTATTTTGAATCGTTCCTATGAATATTACCCTGAAACAATGTTTAATATCATGAAGTAATACAAATATATTATGAATGTATATATACGTTTTTTAGAAATTTACTTTGAAGTCATTATTGATGATTTGAAATGGGAGTCAGAAAAATAGTAAATACCACTTGTGTATTTCAGATACATCCCATCAGACAGGTGTGATTTTATGACGTAACACATAAAACGTGACTTATATTTAGGTACACACGGAAATAATTGTCTGACAACAATTTTTAGATCACAAAAATTATTCCTTTTTGAGGTACTACCTTAATTTTCACGGAATAAAAAAAAATCAGTTTTTTTAGTTGCTATAATGTAGTGATTCAATAAAAAAAATAAAACTATACAATTGTATATTATGTAAAACACGATTTTCACATATTATTTTTCAAATCAATTGGAAAAAGCTTGGTTTGTCTCAATGTATACTTGAACTAATTAGAAAATTAACTAACTATGTAAGTAGTTAAAAAAAAATTAACTAGTTATTGCCTACCATCATTGATAATACGGCGTGTACCTACCTATATGATACAGTGTTATTGTTACTAACTCTTTTAATCGAATACAAATAATCGATTACAGCAGGAACGTCTACGGATATTACCTATATGTTAAAATTGTTTTTTACACAATAACGTTAAATATTTATGAACATTCTAATGACGTATGGTCGGTTGAGTACGTAAATATTTAAATTATAAGGTGAGGAAAACGTATAACGTAAAACCAGCAGACATTACATAAACATGATTTTCTGTTCGCAAAGCGATGACGGCGAATGCGCGTTTACAAGAGCTACTGATACAGAAACGTTGTGCAGCATTGTAGACTGTAGTTATACATATTACATGCATCTAAGATCTAACTCATTCCTACTTAATTGGCAGAGAACACTCACCAGAATAAGATATAATAACGCATTATGCAATATATCAAACATAATAATATTATATAATAGTGATAAACTATTTAATCAACATCAACACTGATGCACTATACCTAAGTAAAATGTTGAACAACCATCTTCACTACAACGAACGCCCAAAAAAGAAAATACCAATGCAATATGATTATGTCATACGTTTTAAAAAAAAAATAAGCTAAAAATCATAAACTAATGTAAAAACTATGAAAATATTTGTATATTCAATATTAATAAAAAGCATGCTAATAACCATCGACGTTTAAGCCTTAATAAATACATTTTTTTTAACCGTGTCTTTGAAGAAAGATCAAAAAGTAGATATTTTCATGTGTAGACCGATACATTGGAAGTTCATTGAAAAGTGTTCAATATGTAATCATATTATCTAAATAACAAATAAAAGAATAAACGTACTTACGCGAGGACTAGAGACATGGAGACTTGATGACGTTATACACACCACACACGTCTTGTTTTGCTGACCTTGGCCTCGTACATCATGTGATGAAAAAAAAAAATCGTAAATCATCGGCCATCGCATTTGAAAACCGATTCTCGGCTAGGTTTCTGGTTTAACATTTAGCGTTTAGAGGACATTTTTCAAAATTGCCTACGAGTATAACATTATCTGTGATTAAAAATAAATTCACGGGTAAAGATTTTCAAAATACATAATAATATTATACTTCTTATTAACATGTATATTTTATGATTATTATATAACAGCAATGATGCGAGTATGATACGAATGACCTTGTATGCACATGTAACGTCTAGAAATATTGCAAATCGTACAGAAATGTGACGAAAAATTACTGTGCCGTTAACAGTTTAATACTATACAATTTAATTTAAAAATAATAAAGTATCTATATAGTAAGATACTGAGGACTAAGGGGGAGCAAAGACAATAATAAAATAAAATATAAATCATAAACATTAACTTTCAATCTGAAAGATAATTTTTCAAAAATATTATTATAATATGTGTTTTTATCACGTCTGCAAATAGGTTATTAAAATGCAAGGTTATCGGTTTTTTTTAACTGAGATTACGGTTTCATATTTTATCATCGTTATAGTTTTTGTCTAGTCTTACCAGTATTGGTTTTTCTAGATTTATTTGAAGATCTATCAGATTATTTTTTTTAATACTATAACCTTTAGATCGATATTTTTACTTATGGTATATCAATATGGGGAGGAACGTACAACAATCATCTATCTAGATTATTAACAACTATAAACTGCATTATTAAATATCTTCTAAATCTATCATTTCAAACAAGTACTACATTAATTTATAAAGAACTAAAAGTCAAAGATTTTAGGTATATTTTTAATTATAATACACTAATTGTACTTTATAAAAATAAAAATTTAATTATCCCTATTGATCATGATCATTATACAAGATATAAACATAATATTAATATATGCCTACCTAACTATAGTAAAGTTTTTGGTCAAATGAGTGTTTTATATAACGGTCTAAAACTATGTCAAACCTTAAATATTAACATTATCCTTTTTGATAATTTGAAGTCATTCAAAAAGTATGTTAAAAATCTTGATCTGTCTATTATATAATTAATATGTTGTTATAATTATTTTTGTTCTTCATACTCTTATCTTTTACTATGTTTAAAATATTGTATAGAAAATACTTTGCTACTTCTTAATTCCAACTATTACTAATTTATTATTAATGTATTTATTTTAAGTAATATAATATAAGAACCGCTCCCCCAGCACAAGCTTTGCTTTTAGGGAGTGCTGCAAATAATTATTTTACGTACTTATATAATGTGTCACTTGTTGTTTTTTGCAAAATAAATATTATTATTATTATTATATTATACGATTAATAACTATAGTAAGACTGTAAGAGTTTCAATTGTTTAGATTCAAAAGTCTTGGATTTATAAAAAAGAAAGATCCAAGTAATTTTTACAAAAAATGGGTGGTATATGTAAATTTGACCATTTTTCAGTGGTTTTTCCTGACTTGTTGAATTATGAATACGAAAAATGACCGCTTCGATAAAGTACACACTGCAATCGTCTACATCCGTTCAGCTACAGAAAATGCAAGAAGTGATTTGATCGTTATAATATATATATATACATTTTTAAACAAAAAAATTTAAATAACACATATGATTAAAAATAACAACATTGTCCTTAAGTAGGTTTAAGAACCAATAGGTATGTATACGTAATCCGTTCAGGATCTTAAATCAGTTTTGATTCACATTAAGCTTATACTTACGACCATTACCCTTACGATGTGCAGTATATAACGATATGCTGAGATTAAGTTAAATTGTATTGGAAGGGGGGGGGGCTAAATTTAAAAAAATATATCTCATTATCTCATGTTTAAGTAATCAAATAATTGTTTTTGTTCTCTCCATTAGTATTATATAGGTAGGTACTTATAACAAAAAGTTGTCAGGAAAACTTTGTAATAAAAAAAAAGAAAAAAGGTAGTTACTTATAATATTGTGCTATAATTATTAACAGTAAATAGCTACAGCACAGAATAGTACTAATTAACGACGGTTGACGGTAATCCGATGCATTGTTATATCCTATGACGGTTGTTTGACGTTTCATCGAATACCTTTAAAAGAAAAGTAAAGCCGTTTATCACCTGCACTGTGCGAGGCGCCGGGTCAATAGCCCGATTATTAATTTAAATTAATAAACCATAATAATTGCTCCAAAAAACGGCCAAACAGCGAGATGCAGATTCTGATTCGTAGTAAAAAAAAGATTCGAATCGTTTTAATATTTACGAGCTCTAAAACGACAATGCGTCCTGCTACGGACGTGCATTTTTTGTCCGATGGGGGACCGATGAGCCCCATACCGACATTGTTAACCACGTCCATATAGGTACTGAAAACTGACCATAATATAATAATAATAGTATATATATAGGTAGGTAGGTACCAACGCGATCGGTAAGACACGACGAGCGCCGGCTAACGTTATTATTCGTCTTTCGGGACGCTTTCTAATCACAACAACAACTTACGGACCGTGGTGTGCATCCGAGATTAGAAGAATATATAATACAATATTATATACGTATATATTAGCATGTGCGTTTGTAGACTGTTTAACAGAGTGTGTGTTTATCATTATGCTTTTTTTTTCTTTTCATTATTGCTGGTCTCTTCCTTCGTTCGTCCGCTATTGTTTTTTGCCGCGCGGCTTGTGTGTATTTTTGCGCGTTCGAATAAACGAAATAGATTTCTTGTGCATTGTGTGTGCGTGTGTGAGTGTGCATGCAGAAGTTCGTGTGTGCATGTGCGACTGTGTTTTCGTTCTCTCGCCTTAATATAATATAATTTATCGTTTTCTACCTAATCATAATCATTATTACTATTAAGCGTGTGTATTGTCGTACAACGGTCGTCCTCAGTGTAGCGTGTGGTATTGGTTTTTGCAGCGATCTTAAATGTTGCCGGTCATCAGGGTGGTCGAGTGCGAAGACCTAGAGCCTCCGTGTGAATCCGCTTCGGACGCGTTTCTACTTCCGGTGTCTTGTAAGAGGTAAGACGCCGACCTAATTTTATGCCTAATGATAATAATATTATAACAACGATGTTGGTAACATAATGTATAATGTTGTGCTGTATAGTTTTATATTAATATAAATAATATTAACATCATCATCATGTAGGTACAGTTCAATTCGCCGTGACGTGCGATAGACCGCAGTCGTACGATAGACATATTATTTTGTATCGTATCATATTATTATTATTATTATTATTATTATTATTATATAATTTAATTGAATTTCACCACGAAAACGGTCTATTCTCGACGGCACGAGACCGTCTGTCTCGTGACGTTTAAAATGCACCGTCTAACGAGCGAAAACTGCAAGCTCTGTATAATAATTGCTGTCATTTGTTCCCGAGTGCAAAGTGCCATTGTTAGTTCTTTTATTTCCGGTAGAAATCTGGTTTGGCAGAGTGTTGTAAAAACAGCGTTGCCGATTAAGCTCGTTCAAGCCTTTACATAGAAGTACTCGTCAATCGCAGTCCTTAAAATTTTTTCACATCCCCTTCATTCATTTTTTTTTTAACGACGAGATAAATTATTATTATTGTAATAATATTTTTTTGACATTATTTTTATAAAACATTTAAACCGTTCAACCATAATACGAGTAGAATTTAATTTTATCAAATAATAACATTAATACATTCATCACGTACTTAAATTCCATTGAAATCGTATCGCAAACTGGCCCGTGTCGTATTAAAATTCGTACTGAAAGATCTAAAGAAAAGTATTACGTGCTTCAAACTAAAAAGTGGCCTTATAACTTACAGTGCCTCATTGATTTTATAAGGGCTTGCGTTTATGATTCGATGTGTTATGAATATTAAGTCGATGATTTAAGACTGCCTACGATAAATCATTATTCTTTCTTTTACATAAATAATACCCATGTTATAATATTAGTGTTAAAAAAAAAAAACTAAACTAATTTTAAACATTATAAATAGTTGAATATAATATTGTTTAAATATTAAGTACTGTTGTTTTTCTTTTGTAATTTATTTTTATTTGATACCTTTTTAATAGTGTTTTTTAAACATCAGTGGATACTTGGGGGCTTGCGACACTCATGCCGAGGGACATCGAAGCCTCACATACCTATGCGTGCAATAATCCGATAATTGTTGAAAGTACATTTTGAAAGTATATTTTTATTTTAAACTAGAAGTTATCTAATTTTGTTTTTAGCTTAAACATTTTATTCTAAGAAAAATTTTAAGGGAGGCCTGGGGTCATGGTTTTAAAAAGTCTTTCTTCAGGGTCCACATGGCTTAAAAGATCAAGACCCTCGGTAATATTTTATTATTTAAGCTATTTTATCGTTATAAGTTCAAAAAGTGCACATAATTTAGTTTGGATTATATTGAATTATAATAAAGTAATCAGTGTTTATAATGAATCATCTCTTGTTTAAAGTGTTAAAAACACTTTTTTTTGTACAATTTATAGTTGTGATTCATATCTTTATTACAATATTAGTATTATTTTAAAACACAAATGTTATGTATCCAGATCGTGAGCATAAGATATTCACAAATTTATTCACATCAACGCTTTCAATTTGAAAGCCTCGATTTTGAAACTTTGACAAGTGCCGACGAACCGTTTGAAAGCGTTGCTGTAGTACTCGGCCACTTCTTTGTCACAGCTTCCGTTCATACCAATGTGCAGACCTAAATACACCATGGCAGAAACCTTGGGCGTCAGGCCCGGGTACACGGGCTTGATGGCTGACAGCTCGACCAGCGCCGAACTGACGTGAGAGGCCACGGTCTGTTCCAGGTAGCCCGGTACGGGTAGGCCATTGATGAAGTCTTGGTCCAGGGGCTGCGGAGACGACGTCAGTGACCGTTCGGGGCCACTGACGTGCATCGTGTACCCCTCGTACAAGGACGGCTGCTGCGAAAACGCCTGCTTGCACTGGGACGAGCAGAACGTGTATGCGCGGTTACCGTAGGTGACCATCAAATCGGGGAGGCCGCGCTTGTACTCAGGGTACCACAGGCACGTCAGCGCGCACACCACGCAATACTCGGACGATAGATTGCACCGGAAGAACGGGTTAAGGGACAGCAGCCTGTCGGTGGTAGCCACAGGATGCTGGAATGGCATGACGGGCGCCGCATCGGCGTACCGATCCGGATCACCAATGAACGCGGCCTCGTGTTCCGGGCCACACGTCCAATAGATGTACGCCCGGTACTGTACCGAGAAACGTCTCATGGCAACCGGGTTTGGTGACCTGGTCAAGCGGTGGCAGTCTACCTTGCACACAGGGCACAGATCCAAGTACATGCTCAGGCTGCACTGGTACTCGAAACCCGTTACCGGAACGCCGTAAAGCCGGCTCGGGCGGTTGCAACGAACGTCCGTTTGGTACGCGAGCACCGACCGGACACACGCCGATGCGGCCGCGGCCATCCCATCAGTGTCGGTGGCTGCGAAACTGGTAGCATTCCCGTACCGGGCCCATATCCATGGAAGACCAGGAAAAACCTCGCTCCAAGCTCCGCGTCTAAGCCTCAACAATGCCGTGTCATCGTCGAGACTTCCTTCCAGCCGACCATCTTCCTGCAGAACGAAAACCGCGTGCAACATGACGCCGGCGCCGTCCAACAGCTTGAACTGCTTCTTGGTCATCGGGTACCCGTCGATCACGTAGCCCCACGTGGTAGCTAGGCCACCAAACGTGGCCGTGGTCACAACTTCCGCCAGCGTTTCCTCGGACAAAGCGTCACCCCGTCGCAGCGTACCTATGGCCGTTTTTGCTACGTCCGTCCACTGGTACTCCGTCAGGTAAGAGTTGATGGCGTCCTCGATTCGGATCAGTTGCAGGCCGAACCGGACGCACAGTTCTTGAGCGCATTGCGATTTCCCGCTTCCAGGAGGCCCGACCACCGCAATCTTTAGCGGGAAACTCGATGGCAACGGTGGCATCCCGGACTGTCCGAGCACGTATTTCAGAGGCTGCCGTGAGAACTCGTCCCTGTTCTCTGGGCCTCCGGCCACGTAATACAAATACTTGCGGTGAACGACTGGGTGGACGTGGCCGTCCGCTAAGTCTGGACAGAACTTTCTGATACTTGGGTCAGCTGAGCCTTCCCGGATCGCCTGCACCGGGCACCACCGGCCGAACTGGCTCAAGTGCACTTCACCGGCACGCAACATGTCCTCAGCAGTCTCCAGATCCACTTCGTACGTCGACTCAAAAGGCCCGTCGGTGTTCGTCCCCAAAACCTCGGAGATTTTGTTCATCGCGGCCGACTGGGAGTCCGGATCCGACACTGTTATCCATGGGATGTTGGACTTTTGGGAAAATTCTCTCATATCCGCCAGTTCATCCTGCTCCACGTCCAGGTATTGATCGATCATGGTGTTCGACGGGAATGCAAAGCCATCCGAAAAACATTTTGATATCATGTATTTGTCGTCGGGGAATTCGTTGTTGACCATTTCTTCGATTTCGTCCAATGTCACAAAGTCGTCCAAATCAATGAAATCGTTGACGTCCAATCCGCGATCAATGATGATTTTTTTCTGTTTCAACGTGATCTCAGAGTATCTGGTCAATAAATCCGTTGTGGGGGTCAGTGCAGACTTATCCGATTGTTGATTCTGCTTGTCACATATGTATTTCACCTCGATCGGTCCATCTATCGTTGTTTCCACGGCTATCATTTTGATTATACGCTCTAAACGAATTTTAAGTATGTAGATTTCTTTTTGTTTGACTAACTCCGATAGTTTTTGTTTAAAGAACATCGATCTGTTATTAACAGAATTTCGCCTTGTCTCATTATCCCGCGCAATGATCTTGTCGACCAATATATATTGGTAAGTTAACCAATTTTGAATGACTGATGCGGTGGCGTGTTCTTTTGCAACGTTTCTTTCAGGATTCACTTCAATAATAATATCAGGATTTATTTCATTTTCTTTTAAATACTTCAATTCCGTCATATGTTTAGGGTAATTTGTATAACATATTCCTTCATTAGCTTGAAAAAATATCGAATTCATTTTGAACCAGTCTTCGTCCTTTAAGTAAGCACTTTCTCTATCCATATACTTTCTTAGACTGTTAATATTATCCTTTTGATTTTCAGGAATAAAATATTTATCCAAAATCTCCTTAAGCGTCGGTTCCTCGTACATTTTACCCACCATTGGCATATTTTTTGGTAAAACATTTTGTTTAAAAACTTTATACGAGTCTACAAGGGTCAAATCAAATGTATCTAGTATTTCGTTCATAAAATCTACTGAACTGAGACCAAATGAAAAAAGTAAAGATACCTTGGGTTTAGGGTAAATTTTTGGGATACTAGTAAACAATGTATATTTATTAGGATTAGAAATAAAATCTTGGAAATCGTTGGATGAGCTCATGTAATAATACCTATTATGATAAACTGCCATATGATTTTTAGATCCAATAGAGAGTTTACCTTTTGCAAACCTAACGGGGCAATAGATGGAAGTATCGCCATCATACTTTCCTCTAGTGGGTACAGCGTCCTCGATATCTGATGTGGATAGGTCGTATACATTGTCTGTCAAAAACCTAAAAAAAATAGTAATATAGTTTAGACGATGAACATTTTAACAAAAACCAGTTAAATTTATAGTTATTATTTTACTTCTTTATATAGTATAAAGTGTCTTCGATTAATAACCTCAGCAAATTTGTCGTAGAGTTGGGTTTGCATACTATAATATTAAAATTCATGGCCTGGGCTGTTTCTTTAGAAATGTGGTTTTTTAAAGCTTGCCATTCTACGAGAAGATTTTCTGTATATTGATTTAATCGCTCAGATATTTCTGGAATGATTATTTCCATTAAGTGATCGTGATTTATGAAATTAACGTCAAACACCACGTTTTCCTCATATTCTGCAGTTTCAACTTCGTCTTCAAAAAACTCATCTTCTGTTATTGGAATATCTAACGGGTTTTCAGTTTTCTTGACAAATTCTGGATATTTTATTCTTTCAACTACTGTTCCATATCTTTTACCATTTTGGACATTTTCTAAAATCTTTTCATAGTTATTTCGATAGTTATTGGATATCTCGTCATTCAATAGTAATACGTTGTGCATTGGATCAGAGTCATGAAAAAATACCATCTGGATTGGATTAAGGTCTTCATCGATTAATTTTTTCACTAATACAAAATCTAATGGTGCGTTAACTATAATCCAGTTTATGTTTTGCTTGTTTTTTATTCGTACCTTATCAACAACAACATTTATTAGATCAGGTTCAATATTTTTTTTTGTTTTAATGAAGCTGGACCTAAAAATCTTTCTATTTTTTTTTGACATATTTTGGAAATATTTTTTTAGACTTTCTGGTTCATCGTAAACACGAATGCATTCATATAAATCATCTAAAAAATCTATGTCATATGATTCGAAGTAGTTTTTTAGTCGCATTAATTGCCTCTTTTTGAAAAATTCGTTCATGTCTTGTTTTTCTGGAATAATTCATAATTTAATTAATCAAATTTTTATTTTTAAGTGCCTATCTATATTAATCAGTGTTAAAAAGGAAATGATTTCGATCAATTAAACGTAATAGTTATTTAATTACTAGCCTTTATTTTTAATCCCAATAGATAAAAAGGTGGGTAAGCGGGTGTCGCTCTGCTGTAGAGTAGGTTACAAGCTGGGAACTGTAATGGTTGATATTAAATTTGAATCCAATGATATAATATCATTGTATACGAAAAACGATTCTGAGCGAAGACGAGCAGTCAGCCTATGATATTACTGAGTATATTTTATGATATTATTATGAATAAAGTAACTTATGTAGAACTTTGTTTCAAATTTTTAATCCCTAGCTATAAAATCTGAACAATTTATAAATTTTTAACTACGAAATCATTTTTAAATTTTAAATTTGATAAATTTGATCAAAAATTGAACTTTAAATGGCTATAAATAAAAATGTGCTCAAAGGCAAACCAAAATCAATATTGAGTAAGAATTCCCGTTTTTAATTAATTTTTATTTTGTTTTTCTCTGCGCTTTTGAAAACTGTTGGAAATTTTAAATGTTGACCTTCTAAAACCTGAATGCACTAACTAGATTCACTTTCTTATCATACAAGAAACTCGAAGTAGTGTTACTATCCCAAACAGCGATAACAGACAAAAAAAAAACACATCATTGTAAAATCTATACATTCATAACTCCGCTCAGAACCTAAAATGTATTTAAGAATAATCTTAATAATGCCGTAGGTACACATCATATACTATACCTAACATATTTACATTTCAATTAATTATCGAATTCAGAAAAAAAACCAAAATTAGTTTTAACTGGCACAAGTTCAGACTGATGGAATAATTTTTAAATTACGTATAATTTATTTATTTCATAATAAATACCGGTGTGTAGTATCCATCGATTTCTTTAAGGGAGTTTTCTACGAGGGCATAAAATAATAGTTACTTTGATGTGAAAAATCTTCATTCATTTCGTATTCACTTCCTTCGTCTTCCGTACCATTTAAATCAGATTGAACGGTAAAATCAAACCTCAGCCGTGTCCAATCAGCAATTGCGTTTCGCATAGTGCTGATGTCATTAGGTCGAATTTCCTTGGGTCTTATGATCTCTCGTACAGTGTTAAGTATAGAACCGACGATCGCAGTCGAATACGCGTGTCTTGTGTCTTTTTCGTGTATCTGTGTTAAGTGTCCAACGTCTATCAGGTTATAACCAAAGAACTTAAGTACAGCCTTTGCAGCCGGATTCGTCAAAGTCTGTGGACCGTAGAACATGGCTCTAATCGGTAATCTGCATCCTGTGACTTGCAAAAATTGTTTCGGGCATTTACCGAACGATTGCATTTCGTAGGGTCCGGCAAAGTAGTACGATTTTCCCATAAACTTCATACAATGACGGTCGCTGCCCATTATGAATCGACCGTTGGAATAGTTCACGGGGCACAGACGACCGAATTCAGACATTACACGTATTTGCTCGTTACGATCATTGATATGTTGTAAATGTTCCTCGCGTAATTGGGTCATCGTATCGCTCCCTCGCTCCTCATCATTGCTGACTACAGTTTCCGCCTCGGTCGATTCCGATTCGAATAATAACTCGGTACCGTCATACGCGTAGTCTTCGGACGAAACTGATTTATCCTGGAACTGCACGATTTTCGGTAACACTGTGTATTGCAGTGACATCGTCATTAATTTCGCTTTAATCGTTTCCATCAATTCGTCCACTGGTTTTCTGCCGTCCAAGGTTATGACTCGTGCTGGATCGAATTGCTTGACTATTTCGTCGATTACCTTCAGTGAATAATTGTTGTAATCCTTCACATCTAGTTCAATTATCTTCTTGTTTACAAACGACTTATTGTACCAATGTACTCGCCTCTGGTTGTACTCCGCGTCGTTCAGATGTAGCGTTTGCGTGAGATGATCTTGTTCCATGGATTCTAAAGTCAGTCCATTGTGTATGTGGCTTAAATCCTGATTCCGACAACTCATATAAATTAATACGTCTGGTGGATTTGTAGTGAAAACCGCATCCATTTGCTCACATGCACTCAGTTCCGGATCGTGTCTGTTGTACAACAAAAACAAAAAAAAATTAGCATGTTAGTACTTACTAGCATATAGTAATATTATATAGTATAAATATTTTAGGGAAGCAATGTTTTGCAATATCCTTCTCCACTTCGAAAATGACCTGATCAAACGTAGCCCAAAGGTCGTGAAGACTACTGATAAATATAAATGACCAGCTGATCCCGTGCACTTCATTGCCCATTAAAAATACCAACGCTATATTAATAATATGTTTTTTTTTATAATATAACGGTTACCATAACAACAGTTTGAAACAAAAGGCAACCAATAATTATTACTATTATTATAGCTTTGAAACCCGTGGCAACCATTTATAAACAAAAATTTAAATAGGAAATCTCAAAATGACTATTTGAGCACCTCCCGGGGTTGGTCCTCTCTCTTTTTAAATTAGTCTAAATAGGTCTATCTACCTCTATACCAAATTTTCCAGTGCACTACGTTGCCCGGCAACCAATAATAATTAATATTATAATATCTTCAAAACCCATGGTAACCATGGCAACCAAAGGATACAGGCAGACGAACATTATATCTTCTCCCTGGTTGGTTGCCATGGTAATATGGACAGACAGACAGACAGATAGACAGACATACATTCATTTATATGCATATAGATTAAGGTCACCGTGGTATTTGTGGCTATTTTTATGATCTTTTGAGATGTTGAAGGACTTGGGCGCTTTTAGATAAACAATTTCAGACATACCTGGGCAACCCGGTCAGCACGTAACCCCTTTCCTGTACTTCAGTCCCTCCGATACTCAAAAGGCCAATGAGCAGTGAGGTGTTACCCGCGGCGTTTACAGCTTCGCCACGTCGCAAAGCCAAACCGGTCGGGTCTTCCGGCCGGTGGCTGGCGGCCAGCAGCCCGGTGGTCACGGACACGTGGATGCATCCCCAGTGCGTGGACAGCATGGCGGCCAGCTTGTCGTCTGCAAGACCGGGCTTGCCGAATATCACGAACGAAACCGGTTTCCGCCGCAGAAACGCCGCTTCCACGTCCTCGCTCCCGTAATGGTCGCGTCCCGCCGGCTGCACCGGCCGCATCCACCGGATGGCGGTAGTCGGCGTCTGTCGGGACCGGTGATCTGCGTCCACTTCCAGATGTCGTGACCAGTTGATCCTTTCGGTGACCCCGTAGGACGACAACCACCCGCGGGTACCACGCATCACCGTCAGCCGTCCGATCACGTCCTTCGGTGTCGCAGTCTCCTGCACCACAGTGGTTAGTCGACAACGGCCACACGGAGTCGGTCGTTGAGTTCGTGCTGGTGTTCTATACAGAGTAGTATTTTTTTAAATTTTAACCGAACAGACTCGAATTTTACCTATCGCGTTTTGAAAAATATGTGTTTTGAAGCTCATATTTGTGCACTACCTATCCAATGACGTGACCACCTAGTCAGATTAGTGTGGGGAACCTGAGACTAGGTTCCATTATGGAATCTTCCGAATTTTATTTTTTTTTCTGATTTCGTAAAGTAGAATATTTTCGTTAGGAACTTTGATTTATAAATATCAAACCAAAAGTGAATTAATATCTGAAGTCCAGATAAACAGAGTATTGGAACAAACATTTTCTGTGGTTGGACAAATCATGTAGAAAGTTTGTACATCAATGTATGTTTATTTTCGTGAGATTCAATTTGGTATAATGACGTCACAGATAATTATATTAAAATAATTTGTGTTGAATACCATTAGTTATGTGTTGGTGAACACGTAGGAAGATTTTTTTAAATTCGGTAAATTATGTAAAATTATAAAATACTAAAATACAACGACAACGAGTTTCCTAAATTGTGCACGTAAAGAACTCTATAAACATATCAATAATTTAATATGGTTTATGTCACTCGTTGTCGGTTGATTAAAATTTAATAAAAATATTCCGTGTGGAATAAATTATCCAGTAGAAAAAAAAATACCCTTTGAAAAAACAATCAAAATTTATTAACTTGAGGTCAATATGAAGTTAAATTTTTAACTTGCCGAGCATCTATGTTTTCCGAAACGCTACAGTTCAAGTATATTTATTTTTATTTTCTATGAAACTTAAGTAGATATACATAATATTACAACTCAAGTGCATCTGTAACAGCTGTTTTCAAATTATGGTCTACCTACGCATATTTTGCAGCTTTATAATAAAAAAACTTCTTCGACGACAAAATAACAGGGATGGTATGAAAGAAAAAGACAGCTGTCGAAAACCGACAAGTTACTCTTAGACGACGACTCTGAGAGGATTACGAAACTATGTATGTGTAGTGTGTACTATTGTATAATATAGTATCATACTTGACAGTAATTTGAAAGGTATTACAAAATATGCACTTCAATTTTAATATGACCTAGTTTAATTTATACATATTTTTTAATTGACAAATGGTCGGTCATCCATCTGATAAAAAGCAGAGAGTTGATGAAATGCATTTAAGAAAGCTGAATATAAGAACGAGGGTCTTAACCTAAAAATTAAGTTTCTTTAATTGTAATAATTTTTAATTATTTTAGTTTAAAATACAATGTAAGATGATTTATAATTTATTAATGCTATACCTAGGTACTTACCTAAAAATTTACTAACTTGGACATTTTGAAAATTTACCTATAAATAATATCATTATTTCAAATCTATTATTGAATTTTGTAATTTTTAAATACAAAGTTGGACATGCGCAATATATCCTATATAAACCGTGCTCAGTGTATATATACGGTGTAAACAATATGTGCAGTAAGTTAGAAAAGTTTGAAAATCCTAAATATGTATAGTGGCGTCAGACATGTGACAGTATGCAAATATATTGAAGATCACAATCTCCAAAAACACTTAACAGTATACATTAAAATAAATTAATCTTTAATCGTGAAACAGTGTAGACGTGATCCCTACTAAAAATTGAGTGTTTTAAAACTAGCGAGGCGTTACTATATTGCCACAAATGTAGAGGCGTGCCGAGTGGGTGGAATTTCGGTGGGGGGAGGGGTGGGAAACTTGGCTGCTTTTGTTTTATTTACTTTTTAACGGGCAATTGTTTATAGACCTATATTTATTTTTTGTACTCAATTTAAGTATTACCTTTCAGAATCGGTACCTACCACTATAAAAAAATTATTTTTGTCATCCCCTCGTAACTATGTATAGGATCGTCAGCGAAATTGCATTATGTATATTATCCAGTGTCTTGAGCTGGATCTATTGGACATTAAATGATAAAATATAGCAATTCATTTATTAACAACGTAAAATAATTTTTCTTCATTAATTTACTCTAGAAATCAATGTTATGAATGAATAATGGTTTTCGTTTGTTTAAATTAGTTTTAACATTATATTATTAAAGAATACCGCTCTTATTATAATATATGCTTTCTTATCAGTCAACCAACTACTTTGTATTAAGGAAATATAATCAGTAACTAACATATAAATTACGTTTTATAATTTACTTACGTTATTTTATCGAAATCTACTCGGAACAAGAAAAAATAAATTATATATTATATTTTACAACGACTAAATGTAAAATATTTTTAGTCCCTTCATGTAAATTAATAACTATTGCCTACTTATCATATAACAAACTGCCTAACTTTTTAAGTGGTTAAATTTTACTGTAATATACTCTGCTAAGTAACTCATCAAGTCGTCAATGCTACTCATTATTAGTTGTATAAACTTAGGTTTATTTTTTCGTTGAGAAGTTTATACTAGAAACTACAAAGTTTGCTGTAACTAAACAGTAAACACAAACATTTTCTGAATAAAGCAATAATAATCTTATGCTTAATAAATTGAAAGATAAACTTTGTTTATAACTGCTATTTGTATAGATAGGTATTAGATTATTTTAACTATTTATGCTTTCGAAAAGTAGGTTAAGCTTTATAGCTTATTGCACATGATAATAGAAAAAACAGAATATTTTTCTATGAATTTTTGGTCGAAGAAATTTTATTTATAACATACTTACTAGTTAAAATTTTCTTTTTTTAAAAATTAATTTAGTTGCGTTTCTAAGGTTTAGAAAGAGATTGTAAAATAAAAAAAAAGGTGGCTCACCCTGTATGCGTATAATAATCAAAAGGAACATGCATGTATTTTGCGTATTATATTATTTTCTGGTTTGACAAAAAAAAAATAATGACGCAGAATACCAAAATCATTACCTACTATTGATCGCATATACTATTCGTTCACAATAGTGGTTTACAACTATTATTGTGCCACAATTTTATGAACGATTAAAAAAAAAGATAAGTATTGACACCTAATGAAACAATCAAAAATATATTATTTTATAATAATATGTGATATTATCGTGAAATAAAAACGTGCGGTATTGCAGTATTGGTAAATTTGTAATTTTTTTTCATTTTTATCATATTGTAGGTACGCAATGATGGAAATTGGCTTAACACCATTTATGACGCTTAAATTTCTATCCGACACTAATAATAATAATAGTAATAATAACCAATGGGCGAAAATGTGTAATATTCAGCGCAACACCGTAGCTGGTACATACCCATCATGCATATTGGGTATGCTTTTGAATAATCAGATATAGAGAGTTTATAGTGTTTGCTAGAGAATAAGTAAACACGGCCTGGACGATCGATATACATTTCCATATACTTACCTATCTAGCTATTATTTGAGTGCTAAGCATGCAATGGTTATTGTTCGGGGCCCGCCGATAATGACTTGGTCGTGGGTATTTAATTATAATATATAATATTGTTCAGACGGAGTTATATACGGCTGGAACCGATGTCACCGGTCCATTTATACCCAATCGATAATAACTATTAACTATCTATACCTAACAATCGTGACGATATAACTGTATCTATAACCAAAAATTATGGTTTTGCGAATTTTTTTTTCATTTTAAAATTGCAATTCATACAATGCTTACGAATCTTTATAATATCCTGTTGTGGTATACGGTAATATGTAGATCTCGTATGCTTGTGTGTGTGGTGCACATAAGACTACTTGGTAATATTATTATAATATTAGGACAGGTAGGTACATACTTAAATATTATTTAAGTTTAATTCAATTTACGGCGACGATTCGGTGAGCAAAACCATAATAATATACGTACTTATAAGTTATGTGACGTAGGTAATAATATTAAATGTTAGGCCCGATTAAATTGTTTAATATAATTTGTATAAACCCTTTTTACTCAGTTAAACACGCAAACAATTATCTGTACTGGCTTATACGTATTTACTCTTAAATATAATATTATTTTTTATAACTATAAAGTATTGTTTGAAAAAACAAAATATTACATTTTTTATGGATTTATTACCCCTATATATATTTTTCCTTTATAGAATCATTTGTCTTTATTATTAAGCCGTATACTTTGTATAATACCATAATGCAATCTAGTTTTTTAAGCTTTGTTCTAATTTTAATTATTTGACACTTTAAATCGTAGTACTTGTTTAACCATTCCCGTACAATAATATATTATAATACTAATATTTTGGATGTATAGTTTTGTTGATTGGTATTTGAAATCATAATATTATTAAATTCAAAGCACCCAATTAATTTACGATTGGTGCAGCAGTGTTCAATTAATTACAAAATAAAATTGTCTTAAACCGAGGTGCCCGAACCAGAGCTTACTTAAAAGTAATGGTAATTTTATAATGTTATATATGAAACAGCATATTATACATTCTCACTTTCTCATTAAAATATGTTTGTATTTTTTACAGGGAGTAAAATATTATGTAAATCACATTTAAATCGTAATCGTAATAAATATACTGCTATGTATAGTAATTAATAAAACTAATGTACAATGCATGACGTCTGTCTGGGCGAATACCTTCTATGATCAGTACGAACGATATTGTACGTCGAGAGAGATAAAAGACCGCAGTGGCCATATTTGCAGCTAGGAGTGATGGGGAACAAAATGGACATTAAATTATAGCTGTCTGTGAGGATGTTTTTTTTATGGAAGTCGGGTTGGAAACAAAATGGAATTTTTTTCTAATATAATTTGAGAACTTGTTTTATTTGATACCCACAAGGAAAAAAACACTAATATAATCACTATTTTCTGGATACAAAATAAACGGTGTTTCCGGTATTTTATACACCTTTTAAGAATGATTTCGTGCCTAAATGT